ACAATGAAAACAATATTAATAAAAATAGATCGATACAAAAATTAATGGTTAACCGTAGTTGTGAAATATACTATGGTTGAGATTACAAGTAAAATAACAATAAATGAAATATACTGTGTTAAATAAGTATCAACATTTCCAACTTCCAAAACATACAACTGACCAATCAGAAACGGGTACAGAGGTAGTTTTGGGAAAGCACTATCAGAGTAACTACAAAAATCGGTGGGAAATATTACCTCGTCTATAAGCGAAATTACTATAAACCGATTTCATATATCGATTTTTTGAACAGATTATCGTCTGCACAGACAAGGTAATTGATTATTTATATTGATACATCTAAAGCGGTCGATTTTACACGCCACGAGCCAATTTTTTGATGAATGATGATTCCTAATGAATAATAATTTATTCACTAATACTAGTAACAGTATGTATGTTTTTAAAGAGTGTTTTTTCCCTCAATGAATAATTATGGAGAGGAAATTTTTCCCTTTGCCTTACCCGAAGATTTTTCCCTGCCAACTATAAAAGTTTGAGATAGGCTATGAAATTCTATGGAAGGAATCCATCAATCGATTTAATGACAACATCGATGTTTGCTGAGTTTAAGAACGACCGGCTAGATTTCAGTGAAAGGTTACAAAACCTATGAAAAATAATAAATATGAAAGTAAACTTAATATAAATAAATAAATTGAGAAATAACTGGCCAAGGTAATAATAATGAGCTTGCATCGACTCCAAAACCCGATAGAACAAGCTGAGCCATCGATGATCAGTTGACGAATAAAAGAAACTTGCTGAATTCCATTAATGGACTCATCTATGGATTCAGCAACAGCCTGATGGATTTCTATTACTTATTAATAAGCTCAGTGCTAAATTAAAGAGTTTGCCAGTATGTTGCAGCTAAGAACTTTTAATAATCCTGTTTGACCGTTATTTTGCTCTTCTTCGAAGGTACCCAGGGGTGCTTATCCCCCCAAGGTCGATGGTACAGACCCGCTTTCCAAGAAATTCAATGGTGCTCTTCTTGTGGTCTGTTTTATGTTTTTGAATTGGTCTGCTCCAGGAAAATTTCTTAAAATTAAAATCCCACAAAACTATGTTTTTTCCAATTCCAAATTCCTAACCCCGTCAAACCCTGGGACAGGGAGACCTTCCTAGGGCACATCCAGCCTTTATAAAGTGGGTACCCTTAATTAAATAATTGATTAAGGGGGAAAACCTGGCGGTTGAGTGTGATCCTGGTCCGATCCCTGCATAACCGTTGGCCTTTAAACAATACTTTCTCTAAATAGTACTGAACCCAAGACCCTTCATGGGTTGAAGTGGTACAGGTTAACCCTGTCAAAATGTGTCCCCTCTCCCTTAAAAATTGAAATCTTAGATAATAATGCCCCGTCTCAAAAATTTCGATGGTGTAACTCGTACCAAAGCACACCCTTCTGAGAACGCAAATCGTGTTTATATTTATAGGAAAACAATTATCATGAACTGAAAATGTTTACAATAGTGCAGAGATGGTTGACCGTGATGATAATATGAGAAGGAGTTTGTCGAGGTGGTGAGGTCAAATGTGATGAGAAATCTATTTTTCTCATGATGGTTTGTATTTATTGAGTAATAGTATGGTTTGTATGGATTGAGTAATAGAGGAAATTTGTGTTTGAGGTGATGGATATGCTGTATGAATTCACGGATTTTCAAATTAAGGAGGGATTTTTTGAATTTTAAGGAACAGTTAGATACTTCAGGATTGAGAGATTTGGAAATCGTTATGTGATTTAGGGAATTGGTGATTGATTTAGGAAAAAAAGAGTTGAAGTAGAATTTCAGTAGAAAAATGCCGTGTGCGCGCGCACAAGGGGCTTGTGGAGCTAACAATGTTTGTTTAAGTGGTATTTGTGACTTGAATAAATGGTTTTGTAAAAAATCTGGTGTGTCCACTCACACGACTTTCCTACATATTTCAGGAAAGTTTTTATATTTATATCTTTACATATGTTCATGAAGAAACAAAAAATAATTGAATTAGATACATTTTCCTGAAAATTGATCATACCTAAGATTTGAGTACGATTTGGTAAACTTAAGCAATGTAAACCGGCTTAAGGTAGATCAGTGTAAAAATTTCAATACTTTCTAATATTGCTGATGAAAATCTTTTTGCCATAGCTTAGTATTGACAAACAATAATTTCTATTAAAAGGATAGGAAATAGTGAAGCTTGTGTGATGTGGGCAACAGATTTTCTTACTTTCACTTAGTCATCTTTATTCTCTCATTTACCCCTTTCTGGCACCAGGATATCAAACCGTAATCCGGAACCGCATGTCGGAAATTTGACCCGATTGCAATACTTTCCTTACCTAGTATAGGTAGGAAAGTAAAAAAAGTCTGAGTGTGAGCGGAACTTACTTGGGAATATGAGTTTAAAACTGAGGAGGGCAATCTATTTGAACATATTTACAGATAATTATAATAATATAATTTTTCAATATATAAAAGTAATGAAATTATATTTATTGATAATATAAAGGTTCTCTTTTGTACTTCCTCGGAACAGAATAGAAGGAAAAGTTAGTTCCTCGGCTAAGGATATGAAAAGGACAAGCTTCCCAGGATACGGGACGGCCATTCCCATTCCAACAGATTACTTTGATCCTTCCCAGGATAAGGCAAGATATCCTTTACCCCCTTCACCTCCGAACGTTTATATTCCATTACAAGGGGACAAAAGATGATACGGATCCAATTTCATGGCGGACAATTGAATAAAGAGCCATGTTATATAATATAATGATGAGAATATGAAAACAAAATTGAATTTCTAGACAAGATAAGGAGTAGTGGAGTTAGTATAAGAAATAGGAGGTCATAATTCAGATGGCAGAGGAGAAATATTATCCGCTCTTGTGTGTATTAAATTTCGCCATCTCGTGGCGGCATCGTAAATCAGTCAGAATCGGGCGTCTCGTGTTTCCGTCTTCGTTTAATATGGCTCTGTCTCGCCGAATAACACAGCAAATATATCATCAAATATATTATAGGGCAGGCTACTCAGTTATAGAAAATTTCAAAATTCTGCGAACAAGATTACATTCTCTCTTCCCATCTAAAATATGAATTATGTATTACGCATTATATTGAGTATTCCAAAGGTTATTCTGATCATAGATTATTTGATTCGATCTATTATTATTAATTAAATATTAATAGACGATACACCAGTTCTAACAAGACATAAAACTCCTACAGACGCCTCTTTACAGACAAACTTTACATCACCTAATAAAACTAAACGATTGGTTCAAACATTGGAAAATTAAACTGAACCAAGAAAACTCACTTAGAACCATGTCTATTTACTATATACTATACATAAATATTTACCTTGACAAAGCCGAAATTCCTCAAACAGATAAATAGAATATCTTGGATTGACATTCGACAGAATGACATGTGGCCCACATATGAACAAAGAAAGAAAAACGTTACACCTCAGACTATGACTATTATATTCACTCCTATCAAGATGCTCAAAATTAAACCTAAAACGAAAACTGAACGTTTACACTTACCTATTTAAGCCAAAATGGCCCTACGTTTCACAAATTTACGGAACAGCCAAAACGCCCCGCGTACGTAAATTACAAACTTTTCATTCAATAACCTTCAGGACTATAACTGAAGCTCCATGGTATGTCACAAACGTTACTTTACATAATGACATTCAAATGACAACAGCAAACGACATACGGACACACTGCAAAAGATTTCATGATAACTTACATGGACATATAAATACACATATAAATAAATGGACATATAGTCCGTCGTACAGACCCCTTTTTATCGAATTATTAACTTCGTAAATAGTTTCATCTCATCGTAACCTACAACTATTTTATTTACGAAAACTCTTGGAATTGGGACGTTTTCAATCTGGAGGGAGACCAATTATGTATATTTAATTAGGTACTAAAAAAACCCGGTCTACAAAAATATTGGGTCGTTTGTCCTATATAACATTATTATTTTGAAAATTTGGGGGTGTAGGTTACGTCAAATGGCTCTATATTTTTGAACGCCACTTTTGTTATAGATTTTATGATCTAATTATCATACGTCCCAAGTCGAAAGTCAATGTGTATTTACCAGTTTTTAGTACCTAGTTAAATAGACAAAGTTTGTCCTCCCTCCAGATTGAAAACTCCCCAATTCCAAGAGTTTTCGTAAATAAAATAGTTATGTGAGATGTAACTATATACGAAGTTTTGGACGGATGTTAATAATTCGATATAAAGGGGTCTGTATAACGGACTATATACGTAGTATGGCTACGCTTAACATGTCCAAAAATGAGGGATTTTCTAGCTTAAAAATTCACTAAAAGTAAGACAGGAAGAGATGCCGGTGGGCACTCCTTTCCCTCAAGTTACTATCCATACTCTTACAGAGAGCAGATCCGCTAATTGTCACTGCTTATGAGTGTAGGTGAAGATATAAAGTTAAAAATAAAAAAAATAAAATGTAAAGAGCTTAACTTAGTTCAGTTGCTCAAAAGTCGTCTTTGGTTTTAACAAAAATAAATTCCACTATAATTTAAAGTAAATTTTGTCTAGTTTATTGTGGATTAATTGTTAATCACTTAAATTAAATATTTATTTAGTGATAGCTTCCAATTCAACAAAAATCGTGAGACATAAAAAAAAAAAAAATACAAAACTTAAATTTCCTACTTTTCTGCTCAAAATCGGCTCATTGTTTATATGAACTTTTTTGTAGCTCTTGAAGTCTACTATATCCTTTGAAAATATTTCCCTCTACTTACGGGACACTCTGTATTGACGATTCCATCCAGGAGTTAGATAAATGGATGCCCATTGGTGTTTGGAAGCAATCTATCGATTCAGCGCTGAGTATAGGAACTTATATAACTCGACTAAAACTTTACATAAGAAGCATTATACAAATATGTAAAGGAGCTGATGAGGTCGACACTTCTCGAAGATGCCTGTGGTCAGCGCGGGTTCGAGGTCAGGTTCCTGCGGCTTTTCATGGTCAGCGGTGAAGAAAAAAAGGAGTCGATCAAAACTGTCGGAAGAGGTTCCAATAATTTTCAGTTGGTCGTTCACGAGTCTAATATTGACAAATCGTAATAAAACGTAAATAGAGCGAGAAATATCAAATTACATAGCTAGGCATTAGTACTAATATATAGTTCAGTAAGTAAGGCACTGACTTCCCAAGCTATGTTCCGGTTTCGAACCCGGATGGTGTTATTATTCGAATGGCAGGTAATTATTTATTGTGTTCCATCATCCGTGGATCGACCCTAGAGTTGGGAGACCCTTACGGCACAGCCATGCTCTATGAAGTAGGTACTCTTGATTAAATAATTAATTAATGGGGAAAACCTGGCGGTTGAGCGTGATCTTCATCCAAATTAAAACAGTAATTCCTTGCCCAAGTCCCTTCATGGGTTACAGGTTTTAAAATGAATACTTTTAAGGTATAATATTATCATAATATAACATATATTGATAATATAATATTATCAAGAAAATTGTAAAATTGACAGAACTATTCCGTACTGTAAACTTCATTAGGGATTTTAGAATATATTCCTACTCTCAATGATACTGAATGCATCTATTGTTTGTTTTTTTTTTAATTTTTTTTATTCTTATACAAATAAACTTGTACCTATAGTTACAATAAGATAATGATGTGTTTAGATATTATTCATTATTTAAATACTCTGACATTTTATATAGTCAATTTTGTCTTTCCTATGTTGGCAGAAACACAGCTTATTTTAAAGAACTCAATGTATTTTTATTATTTTATTTTTCAAAAGTTTATAATTATAATTTTTCCTGCTGTACATAGTTTTAAGTTTCTTATCATAGTTTTAAGTGTTTTGTATACAGATTTTTTTTTTGTATATAGCTTGCTTAACTAATATTTTCTTCACTTTCTCTTTTTTTATTATTGTTTTATTTTGGCCAGATGTAATCTTTTAATTATGTACTATTTTGTTATTCTAAAGGAATTATGTCCCAGAATACAGTTATTTTCTATTTCTATTTCTATTTCTAAAATATCAACTAACACAATTGCTGAGCCTCCATAAGTTAACAAAGACCATGGGCGGATTTGTGGCTGAAGCCCCCCAAAATGGTAAAATATAATCATGTTTTGTGAAAATTGTTTTTAAAAATTAATTTCTCTTAAATTTCTCTTAAAGTATTATTGTTCGTGTAATTATATTTAAAAGGACTTTAGGAATCACTTAAACATCATTCCGTATAGGTAGTTAGTTTATTTCTTTTTTTCCGAAGTAATTATCGTTATTTTTATGAAAAAAAAAATTCCGGGCTGAAGCCCCCCAAAAAAAATTCCGGGCTGAAGCCCCTCCAAAAAAATTAAATCCTGGATCTCCTAGTGATAACGACTATGTTGAAATAATAGGTTACTTAATAAGTAATTGGCTTGCCTCCACTGAAAAATAACTCTACAATTAAGCAAAATGACTAAGCTCTCAAGAAGCCTATTCGTACTGAAGAGAACTATTTTTGTTTGATATGATTTTGTTAACTATATGATGATATGATGATCTATTAACATTTCACAATCGAAGCATCACTTACATTTTAAATCGCTTTTATTTAAATTACAGTATGAATTTAAGGATCAAAATTGGAGTTGGTCATTTCTTCATGAAATTTCGCTTCTTTTGACACTACATTTATCAAAATTTGTTATTTGTATTTATATATTATCATTACAATATCTTTATAACTTATAACATCAGTAACAGATTTGCCAATCTTACCTGTATCTCATCCTTCTATCATCTATTTTTTTAAAAAAAAGATCTGCCATAATTTTGATTTTTATAAATCATCCCTAAAAATGCAATAATTTTATGGTTATATTATTATTATTTTTATGTAAATAGCAAGATTCTGTAATGAATTTATTTACCTTAATTATATTTTGGACTCCTCTAGGGAGAGCCTAGACAGACACTGAACCAAACCTTGAACCACGGGTCAAATTCCAAGAAGTTTTATTTAGTTTTATATATTAATAATAATAATAATAATAATAAGGCTTAGCGAACCCGAAGGTTCGATGCCGACACCACCAATCGCTTGTTACACACCTCCCTCCACCGTTCGCCGTCCAAACCACCCGTCCCTTCAGATCGGCTTTAATGCAATCTTCCCACCTTCGCTTCGGTCTACCCCTCGGACGCTTACCATTCGGCACAGCAAATATTAACCTTTTAGGAATTCTCTCGTTACTAAGCCCAACAACTTTACAAGCCCATTTGATTCGCCGCGATGAAATTACCTCAATTATATTACCCGGATACAGCTTATTTTTATATATTTAATTTGTTAATTGTATTAGCGTAATGGCTCCCGGTATTATTAATTTTAGTGATTTTTATATATTTAATTTGTTAATTGTATTAGCGTAATGGCTCCCGATATTATTAATTTTAGTGATTTTTATATATTTAATTTGTTAATTGTATTAGCGTAATGGCTCCCGGTATTATTAATTTTAGTGATACTAGTAGGCCCGTGCGAAAAATTAGCACAGCATATTGTTTTCAAATGCCTAATTATTAAGAAAAAAAAAAAATGCAACGAATAAAAAAGATAACAAAAACAATTGTTAGTTTATCGCTAAATATAAATGACAAAGGAAACAAAAATTATTTTAAATCTTCATTAATGTTTGGAACCAACGTGTTTACAAATTTCAATAAGCTGTATCTTTGCTAAAAATTGTCCGATTTCGATGATGTTTTTTTTTTCCTTTTGTAGGGAATTTAGTAAGTAATCTTTTATATGGTCATGGGCATAACCAAGAGAAAAGTGTGTATTTTTTTAGTTATTCGCAAATAAAGAGTGTTTTCTTTCATAACTTGTTTGCCTGAATTCGTGGGTTGATTGGACTATTTTGTCCGTCTGAAGGAGAAAGAAGTCTTCGAAATTGGTGGCTCAATCTTGAGATTAGGTGAAGAATTAACGATGATATGGCTTGCCGATCAAAATACCATCGGTAAATAACATAATGTCCTCCTCTCTCGATCATAGAGATCTCAAGTCGACGAAATGAGACATGTATTCAGTGACCGTTCTACAATTAACGTAAGGTTGTGTGGATGCGAACCCTATGCCTTGCGTTATCTCGAAAATAGTACGTTTTGGGCTTAAAAACGCTGGATCTGATAGTTCCGGAGGAAATATCCGGATCTTGCTGCACGCATCAAAATCTTCAAGGTCTAATTTGTCCCGTATCGATCTACAGACCCACCACTGTTTCTGTATTGAAGCCTAGCAAAATGTTTGTATCGACTTTATTTATTTTAGAAAGAAAAACAAAAGTGGAGAATACGATTCGCTAACCCCCCGTGAAATTCTGAATCCAACGGTACCCCATTCATGGTATTTGAGCCTGACAGGAGCTTATATTTGGTACAAAACCGATTTCGAGCCTTACTGTAATAATATATGTGTGGATGTGGATGTGGATTTCTAGTGAGGAAATGTATACCTTTATTCAGTTCTATATTTCAAAACTTCAATCATGTACACTGTAATCAACTTACACACTGTCTGTTGTACAGGTATTATAAATTTTCAGACTAGAAGTATTACTAAAATGACCTTACTCAAAATTGTTGAAGGAGTTAGTCTGAAAGGCTCATAATTTTTTTTGTATTCTTATAAATTCCTGAAACGATCTACTGAAGCCTGACTTTGATTCTAAAAAAAGCCATTAGAGAAGCGATCTAACCACAGCACTCTTTTCCAGCCTTAATGATTCCAGTTCTTCAGCTAACACGCTCCAAACCTAACGACACATGTCTTCGAGGAGTTGTGGTTTCGCTAACTATTTCCTCCTCGACTCCTGGCCACAGCTTCGACGGATTTTCCGCCCCCGCGAACAACAAAGAACTCTTGTCACAACTGCCTCATCATGCGTGCAACCTCCCCCTCTCGAAGTAACCGCAAGTCCATTAGAGTGGACACTCGATACTCAGGGTCGTCTTTCTTGAAATATGAATATTTTTTCTTCAGATTTTTCTTTTCTTCTTTTTTTCTTTTATGTCCTAGAAACCGGATACGTGGTGTGGAGCTGTAAAAGAAAATACTTTAAAGGATCGTGTATCGGTTCTTCCTTCGCGTGGAAAATGGGATGTGGGATATCACAACTGTAACAGTTCTTTTACTCCTTTTTCTTTCTGGTGGATCTTCATGGTGGCTTGAACGACGATCGACCGTTAAGCAATAAGAATGATACAAAAAGATAAGATCAGCCATGGAAGAATTTTATACCATAAGAAGAATCAAAACGAAAAAATTAAAAAGTTCTATTTGGCGAAAAAAACTAAGGTTTGTTCTTTAGACTACACGATAGTCGTAAAAACATCAACAAGGCGCACAGGCGGATTTACGGGCAGAGGGGCTTTCGGGCTGAAGGTAAAATATAATCATGTTTTATAGAAAAAAATATTAAAAACTATCTCTTAAATTATTATTGTTGGTGTGATTACATTTAATAGGACTTCAAGAATGTTAGGCGGTTGTTAAGGATGGACTTTAAGGAATTGTGAGGTTTTTTTCTTAAATATTGGGATTAACATATAAATAATAAAAAACAACATTAATTTCTGACAGTAATAGTATTTTGAATAATATTTTATGTAGTCTATGCGATATTTTAAGGTGTTCTATCGCCACAGGTGTCTTGATATCCGAAAATATATAACAAACTATTGATAACTATCTTAACAATATAAGGTGAAGATGATATACTGAATTTACTTGGCAGAAGTATTTTTTTTCTTTTTCTTTAGTTATTGGACGATTCCAGTAAAATAGTTTCCTCCCCCGGACTTGGAACGTTATCTAGAACCCTTTCGTCGAATTGCTCCCACAAAAAAAAGTAACTTCGTGTTGAAAGGACTTTGTGGAAAAGGAGTGGATGGTCAAAGCTCTATCGAAGAAGAAGTTATTAACTTTTGTGCCTTTGGGATATTTCACCGTCAGTCAGCTTCTCCTTATCTTTTTCATATCATTTTTTTTTTTTTTTTTGGAAGTAAAAGAAATCTTTGAAATCATTACTAAAGTGGTTTAATTCATAAAATGTTGGGATTTCATTTCAATTTTAAAGGCTGTATAACAGATCAGGATTGTATGTAGAGTTTATATGTTAATAAAAATATATTTTCTACTTCCATTCCATGGAATATATAGCAAAGTATTCAGACGAGAAAAATTCACAACTGGCTTCGTCTTGCCATAACCCATAGCTTTTTTAACTACGATAACTGTCAGACATTTTCTCATTAAATTAATTAACAAGCTGTACCTGGCCCACGTTGCTCTGGCTGATTCTGGTTCATTAAAAAAAGAAATTAAAAATTTGGTGAGTCCACTCACACGACTTTCCTACCTTTTTTAGACAAGTTTTTATACCTTTACATATGTACATCAATAAAAAAAAAAATTGAATTACATTTATTTTCCTGATAATAGATCAAAGAAAAGATTTGAGCACGATTTATTTGATAAACTAAAGCAATGTACACCGGCTTAAGGTAGATCAGTGTAATAATTTCACAATACCCTCTAATATTGCTGTTTCTGTTAAAAGTAGAGGAAATAGTGAAGCTTGTGTGATGCGGACAACAGATTTTCTTATTTTCACTTAGTCATCTTTTTTCTCTCATTCATCCCTTCCTGACACCAGGATATGAACCCGTAATCTTAGATTGGAAATTGAATCGCTGTAACTTCGTAAATAGTTATCCGAAATGAACGATTTTTATACAGTTTTGCAGGGAATTTCATTACTTAATACTAAAAATGTGTTTTTCGGGAACGGGCTCATAGGTCTCGGAAACGTATAGATCCGTCGAAAACCGCATGTCGGAAATTTGACCCGATTGCAATACTTTCCTTACCTAGTATGGGTAGGAAAATAATAAGTTAAAAATGTGTAAAAAATAGAAGAAGCTATATCATCGCCAATACTGGTTCGATTCCGATGATTTTTTTTCTCGTTTTGTTGGTAATTTAATTACCTTTCAAAAGTTTTATTATAATTTTTACCATAGAAAATATACTTAGCGAGTTAGGCTCCAGAACATTTTTCTTTTCTTTATAAATTTTTTCCTGATTTTTTTTCTCGAGAATTTAGTCCAAGTACGAAAATTAAAAGAACAATTATTAGAACATTATAAGAAAGTTTCATCAAAATCTAGTTTGAGCCGTGTATAGTGTATAGAAGAAACATGTTTTTCATTTATTGCTACATAATTTGTGTCACAGGCATCAGTAGTCAAAACTCTACAAAATAAACAAAATCGGTTCACAAGTTCCCGAGAAAATCTTGACCAATGGCTACAGACAGACAGACCAATGGCTAAAAATGTGTTTTTCAGACTTAGAGGGCTCTGAAACGTATAGATCCGTCGAAAACCGCATTTCTAAAATTTGACCCAATCGCAATACTTTCCTTATCTAGTATAGATAGGAAAGTAAAAATGAGATCTTTTGATTTACGAAAACTCTTGGAATTGGGGCGTTTTCAATCTGGAGGGGGGCAAACTTTGTCTGTTTAATTAGGTAGTAAAAAGTTGTAAATAACCATTTGCTTTCTAATTGGATCGTGAGATAATTTGATCAGAAAATCGATAAAAAAAGGGCATTAAAAAATATTTAGCTGTTTGGCGTCACCTACACCTCCAAATTTTCTAAATAACGAGGTTATATAGGGCAAACGGCCCAATATTTATGTAGGCCGGGTTTTTTTAGTACCTAATTAAATAGATAAATTAAATAATTTGTCCCCCAACAAATTAAATAATTTGTCCCCCTCCAGATTGTTAATAATGAAAACGCTCCAATTCCAAGACTTTTCGTAAATAAAATAATTGTAGGTTACGTCAAGATGAATCTATTTACGAAGTTTCAGAGGGATGTTAATAATTTGCAAAAATGGGTCTCAACCTCGGACTATATAAAAAAATTACAATGTTTTTCAGCTGCTGTCTGTTTAAGAGTTAGACCTATTATTCATTAGAAATTTTATTCAGTTGAAAATGTATTAACCCCCTTTGGAAAACGAGGCTTTGGGATGAAAAAAATAAATAAAATGAATATATTAATTTCTTTATTACTACAAAATATGGAGGATTGAACCCTAGTTTCGAACCCTCCTTGGCATTCGTCATCCGGAGCCAATAAGGTCTCCCCTGCCTACAACCCCACTTGCTCATTTCCTCTTCTTGATAGTCTGTTCCATCGCTTCATCTCAACAGCTCCCGCTGGTTTATTGATTATTTGCGGCATCGTCACTCCGAGTTTTATGAGTTAGCTAGCTGTTAACTCAACTTCAACATATGGAAGCTGGAGAGCTAAATCCATGTCTAAAAGCCTTTTTAGACGGTTAATTTTCTTAATCAGATGAACTCGGTCGAGAAGAAATAATTAATACACTAGAAGATCCGTGCGAAAAATTCGCACGGCATATTTTTATCAAATGCCAAATTAATAAGAAAATAAAATAATGTAAGGTATCAAAAGACAAAGAAATCAAATGTTACTTTATCGATAAATTAAATCTTCATTTTTGTTTTAACCAACATGTTCACAAATTTCAGTAAGCTGTATCTTTCATTTTGTAGGAAATTTAGTAATATTTTATATAATCATGGGCATACCCAGGGAATAGTGTGTAATTAAAGTTTGTTTTCTTTCATAACTTGTTTGCCTGAACTTTCTGGGTGATTGGACTATTTTGTCCGCCTGAAGAAGTAGGAAGCCTTCGAAATCGGTGGCCCAATCTTGAGATTTGGTGAAGAATTTATGATGATATGGCTTGCCGATCAAAAACACCATCGATAAATAATATAAACTCCTCCTCTCTCGATCATAGAGACCTCAAGTCGACGAAATGAGACATGTATTCAACGACAGTAGTACAATCAACGTCAGGTTGTGTGGATGCGAACCCTATGCCTTGCGTTATCTCGAAAATAGTACGTTTTTGGGGCTTAAAAACGCAGGATCCGATAGTTCCGGAGGAACTATCCGGGTCTTGCTGTACGCATCAAAATCTTCAAGATCCAATTTGTCTCGTATAGATCTAAAGACCTACCACAGTTCCAGTATTGAAGCCTAGCAAAATGTTTGTATCGACATTATTTATTTTAGAAAGAAAAACAAAAGTGGAGAATACGATTCGCTAATCCCCCGTGAAGCTTATACTTGGTACAAAACCGATTTCAAGGTACTGGAAAGATGTAATCAAAATAATTAAAAAACACTGGGATACAATAGAACCGCAAACCCAAATTAAAGGGTTTTATGGAAGATATGGATTAGCATATCTCAGAAGCTGAAAATCGGAACTGAATACTGTAAGCGAGGAAAATGTTCAGCAATTCATCTTCTTTATAATGAGCAATTATTTATAATTTATATTTCATATTATTAATCTCGCCTTGATGTTTTCGCTTCTACCGCTGTGTGGTCTCAAGTATCCAGCGCAGTTTTTTTTTTTAATTATTTAACTGGAGGATTAAAATAAATTCCAATAAATCCCATCAAATTACCTTCACTCTTCGTCGTAAACCTATGACTTCCTGGCCTACAGTATCCTTCAACAATAGCTCCACTTTGAGAAACGACTCACTTGGAGCCCCCATACCACACTGAAACGACTAGAAACCGCACGACGTTTTTGACTACTGCAGCACTTACTAGACAAACGATCTAAGCTTTCAATCAATTACAAACGACTCATATATATGACAATAATAAGACCTGTTTGGACTTACGGAATTGAGCTTTGGGGCTCCACTAAACCATCGAATTCCTCTCGTATCCAAATTTCTTCGTAAAATCCTCAACGCTCCTCACTTTGCCACAAATAAAACCATCCATAAAGACCTTAATGTTCCATATGTTTCCGATTTGGCCCAATTTAGATACCTATC